TTCACTTTGCATTCTCTATTACCGAACTTCTCGTCTTGTCACGAATACAGAGGTAGTTAAATTATCGGTCACAATGAGTCGCGAGCAGAGAAGCATGCGGAACTTCCAGCTGCATCGTGAATGAACTTTTAACGCGAATGGCGCTGCGCCGTGATCGAATGCGAGCACGCCGACTTTGTGCGACCTTATTCTTTCTCGTATCGCAAAGTGTCACACTGTTTGTCTCTCTAGACTAGTGCTAGAGAGTACGACCGGTTGCCGAGGAGAAAATCCTCTTTTTCCGTATAGTTTTCCGCGTGTTCGCTGCTCCAGTTCGCCAGCATGTACCTCGAATTACAGCAGCCTTCTCTGCGTCGCAGAGCAAGCCTTGTATAATTGAGAAAGTGCCGGCTATGGAAAAAGGATACCTAAGCCAAAAGTTCGTGTCGAGACTCAGGAAAATAAAGTCCTGAGTTTATTCTATAGTTAACATTAATGGAAGCTGTAAATAGTTACATCCTACGAGGTAGAATAAAATCTGTAAACATATGTTTTCTGGAAGCAGTGTTTTTGCTTATGAATAGCTTTTTCCAGTCGAAGTTTCTCAAACAAAACAAGTCACAATAACATTAAAATGTATCTTACTGTTAATCGTTACTGATTAAAAAGTGGCTTTTAGGTTGCGTTTGGAAACTTTATCCGAGTGCCTAAGTGTGTCATTTTATTCTTGTTTACGTCTAATAGATGGTAAAGATAGGATGACTCACTAGAGTATTTAGGTAAATTTTTCAAACGCAACTTATGCCGATGTATATTAACTTTAATCTTAGTTTAACTTACTTTTTATCTTTTTCTAATTCTAGAAAAAGAATTAGAAAAGGAGAAAGAGTTAATTAAACCGAGACTAAAGTTAATCTACATTGGTAGAAATGTGTGGACATTATGGAGTCATTTTGGAGATATTTTGACGTTATATTGATTTTATGATGATTTGTATATATAGAAAAATATCATTCTATTGCTAAGAAAAATGATTACTCAATTTATTTTCTTCCTTTTAATGATAATTTTTAACAAAGAATATTTTTTCTTAATAATAATCTTAAAATATATACTATTATTACAAATTTTAGAAAAATTCGTTATTATGTAGAGGAGACGGTGGTATTATGGCCAGTGTAAATATTGTGGCCTCCCTTAATATCTCCGCTATTATATAGCGAATCCTAATGATTACTCATGGAATTATTTATCAGTAGCTCGCCGTTACACCATGACGCTAATATGCCAATACTTAATAGCTAGCACTTATTATAATGCATTTTTACTTTCAAGTATTTCGAAATGTTTCTAAGATATATTTTAGCATTTAATTACACCTACTTCCTATTTTTTTTTTTCAAACTTTAGCGTATTATCACACGAATATATTTGAGTGTGTTATTTTCTATTTAACATTTTATTTGACTATATATTTTTAGTTATGCAAATTTAAACAATAGCATGGCATTTTGCAAATGTGGCCCTCTATGAGTGTTGATTACTCACGGCTTCTTTTTTGAGGTTTTTATATTAAAATAATTATTCGATAATCGATTATAGCTCTACTGTTAATCTATAATTTATATTACGTGTACTATTTTTAGTACTGAGCAGCTTATATGCAGAAGTTATGTGTACGTATATACATTTATTTGCATACATTCTAATATGTTTTACATTTTTGTTAATTTTGTAACTAAACACTGTGTTTTTTTTTTAACAAAACCAATTTTTTTAATCTATTTTTGTAGGAGAGGCCAAATTGCTATCCCCCCTGTTTCTCTTCGAGTCATTAATACAGTGTCGCTACATTTTTATAAATAACGTCCTATGTAATAAATGTTTCGTAACTTTGAGTTTAGAATCGATTGAATAACACTTTGACGAATGTAATCGTTAAGTTTTAAATTTAAATTTTAGTCATTAACCAAGTTATTATATATAAAATGTAAATGGGGGACCGTAATACCATTATCTCCTCTACTTAAAATAAGAATTTATTTTTTTTGTAAGAATATAAAATCGAAGGAGCAACTTTATATAATAAGCAAGTCGAATTTGTTTTACATAATTTAATAATCTTGAACTATTAAACTCATTAGGAGTCAGAATATATGTTGAATAAATTTTATGCTTGTGATGAACTTATGATAGATTATAGACATATGAACTTTTAAAATACTTGAAACAAGTAATTATTACTTGCATATAGTAAGTATTTTTCTTTGTATATTCTGCTTGGATTTATTTACTGTTTACTTAAAGCCATTTTTTAACAGTCGATAGTGTCGCGTTAATTTGATTTATCCCCAGTAGTTTTCGCATAAAATATTTTGTCATAAGAAGCGTCTCTTATATATTTAACATAAATAATTCTCAAGGAATAATTCTCAAGACGTTCGGATACTTCATGGAGGTCCATGAATGCCCACTGGATATGTCTGTCTGCTATATGAGTGGTGATTCTGCGAAGCGGTGCTGTAATTTACATGCTCGCAAATCGCTTTCGCAATTTCGCTGGGACGTGTCCGAGCGTTTTTTCCCTTTTTCCTTTTTTTTTATCCTGATCGTACATCTACCGAGGATTATTCGCGAACCGAGATCGCAATCACAGCCGTTCATTTCGTGAGGCAACGTCGTCGTATCCGTAAGGTTCCTTTCCTCGTCCATCGACACCGTGTCATCCGATAGCCGCAGGATATACGTGCCTATCCGAGAGTGAGAGAAAGAGAGATAGAAAGATATATCGATTGCCACTCGGCGTCTCGCTTTTGTACGAGTTCGCGACCAGCCGCCGCGCCTAGAGATCCGAACACAGGGATGCACTTCGATGCGCGCGAAGCGGAGGGCCGGAAAGATAGGAGGGTAACGCGGCCGGAATTAATGCGGAGTGAGTAAGCTGGCTTGGTAGTCGCGCGAAGGAAAAAGGGATTTATGCACCGCCAGCGTTGATAAAATATATCCCGCGGCTTCGGAGAGATATACACCTCGTCGCTCTTCTCATCCGAAGTTCGCTTTGCACCTCGCGTAACTCGCATCGTGCGCGTGTGCAAACTTGCATTTTTTCCTGCGCGAGATACGTTCTTGGATCGCGACCGTCTGAGGTTGAAGTAAAATATCTTGGAAGGACCTTGGAAGATCGATAATTTTGACAATTAATAATCAGAATGAACAATTGATCGTGGACGTACTAATAATATTATTAATCTTTTTGCAAAAAGGTTAGTCTTTATGCAAAACGGCGGCTAGTCTACTTTAGTCTTTTTGCAAAAGGACTAATTTCGCAAAAAGGCTGCGACATCGACATTTGTCAATACGTTTAGTTTCTATTACAAACTATAAAAAAGATATCGTGTTCGAAGGATGTCGCCCAAAGAAGTGCAATTAGCAGAAGAGTAATTAACGTTTTAGCACAGGATCGCCAAAGAAGCGTATCCGTCCGCGTGGTGTCCGGCGAGATGAGAAAGAGATCGCCGAGGTGGGGAACGGATACAGAAAATGGATGGCTGCGGTATCCGCAGGTTCAAGGAAACCGGGCTGGTCCGATTCGACATCATGTCGTGTACACGGAGAAACCGAACAGGTGACGCGCCTGCCTCTGCGAAAATGCAGGTTAATGGAATGCCGTCTAAGTAGCCTCTGCCGTGCTGCCTTGCAAGTGCATGCGATTACCGCGACTGGATTCTCGAGAGTCTTCCACGCTTCGACGATCGAATAGAGAACTGTGTCGTGCCTCGATCGAAAACATTACCTCCGACACGTATAGAACTCCTTATAGAGATTCGCACGCGTAATTTATTCCACTATAACGAAAATTCACAGATATACATTTATATATGTAGATATAAGATACTTTATTAAATGAAGAATACGACGTAAAACTGGATATTAATTAAATGCAGAACATGATATAAAATTGAAATTTTACATAAAAGAAGTCAGAATTTTACATAGAAGAGGAAGAGATTTGTACAGCACAGACCTTCAAAGAAGCCGTCCTAAAAGACATTCAAAAGACGTCTCTATGTCCTCTGAATGTCTTAAGGATGTTCCTAGGATATTTGTCGGATAAAGTGTGCGATATGGGAAGATAGAGAGAATACTTTTGCTCTTTCTTTATTTTGCAATATTAATCGTGGGCAGAGCGATTATTTGTCGAAATAGTCGCTGTCAGCGTGATAGAGCGAGAACGAAACCGAGAGAATACCGATTGTTTGAATACCGATTGTTTCTCGTACAATTCTGAAGTAACAAGTCTGAGTCTGATTACTGTGGATTCTTTCATAAGCACGCAAATCTTTTCACAATCCACTCGATCGTTACGAACGAAGCAGTGTTTTTGTCATCAGTCAATTTTTATGAGGGAAGATGGTAAAAACTTCAATCAAATTTCGCATTAAATGTGAAATTCTTCGTGAATGTGTATCGCATGCACACGATCTATTCAGAAACGTTGGAATTTAATCGAACAAATATGTCGATCGTACAGCTAATATTTATACACTTCGAATAATGTTAAGTCATTTTTAGGAACTTATTCCTACGCAATTTTTCAATGCCTGTACTTTTATCCAAGGAACACATAAAAAAAAATGAAAATGACTTTATTTTGATGTCATGAAAGTCAAAACGATTATTTTTAGTAAAAACGATGAATTTGACTATTTAATGACGTTAAGAATCAAAATAAAATCATTTTAATTTTCCGTTGACTTTTATGTGTTTCTTGGGTATGTGTATTTTGGCGATTATATGGAGGTCTCTTCACGCGTTTCTATCAGCGCCACGACATAGCAACGAGCTCATCGATCGGCCACGGAGACAGCTTTTTGAAAGCCGCACGAGGGAACCACGAGAAACCCCAACCGGACGACGACACGAACAGGGAGGAGCGTGGACGCTTCTCGTATATGCATGTATCTGCGTTGGATGCATGTGTAGACGACTAGCGTATCGATTTAATATTCTTTTTCTCATACCGATGCATAAAGGCGGCGGTTGACATGTTACTATCCATGGGGTGGTTCCATAAATCCCGGCCGGGCCCCGCCAACGCGACCCTCTCGACGGCACTCCCGCTCGCGGTGTTCCGAGCTCCGTTCCGTCACCCTGTCTTCTCGTTTCGACACCGTGACCTCGAAGTGACCTCAGGAAATCCACGATGGACGAGAGAATCCGACGCGATGCGAACGCGGCTGGCAACAATGACCGGTAGATAGAATCGTTCTCTACAAACACCTGCTTACGTCGACCTGGGCAGGTTGAGATCGTCTGCCTGACTGAAGTCAGAATGCGCACTAGTCGGTTTCCATGGTGGATGGTGGGCCGATGGTGGTGGACGGCGGTGTTGGACGAGAGAAAGAGAAAGAGAGATAGAGCTGGAGGTGGAGTACCGGTGGAGGTGGCGGTTGTACCCGCACTCGAAGGATTGGTGGGGGGTTTTGACAGAACCGTCTGTGCCGGCTGCGCACTGCATTCTCCATCAGGCGATGGCACAGACATTAAGGCACAGTGCGCATGATGGTGTTGGCCGAGAAACCCATCGGATTGACCCATGGGACGTAGAGTGTGGTCCTGACTAGAAATCGCCGCGCGATGCGGAGAAACCGGCAATAAATTTACATTGAATATGCAATTTTTCTAAAATTTCTCATTAATAATAAAGAAGCCGCTTCTTTTAAATTAATTCTGCGACATAATTTTGATATTTTTTTTTTAATTTAAAAATTTATATATATTTTTTTTAAAAAGTTTATTTAGCCTATTTTATATTGTTATTAACAAATTGTAATGATCTTGATTTACATAGACACATTTTATTCTGCAACTTTCTCTCTCTTTCTCATTTACATAAAATTTTTATCTTTTTTACATTATATGATAAAAATATCTCAAAATCTTTAAATTTTTTGTTTCTCGCGTACAAAAATAATTCATTTCATGGAATTTTATGCTACTTTTCAAGCTACAATAATTTCTTTGTATGCAAGAGAAAGTAATATTTTCCCCAGTAGTTTGTTTATTACAAAGGCGCGGCACTTAAGACCCAACTTCTTAAAACGTTGTTGCGTTTTAGCGTAGGTTTTTTCTAGAGTCTCCCTTATTGTCCTGGCGAGTATCTCGCTCGCAACGGCAATTTTACTCTTATGCAGGTTGGGAAATGTTGGCACAAGTGATACAGAGCTCCACTGAAAATTGCCATTTTTTGCTTCCCATTTTATGAGCTTCCGCAGTTCCATTTTCATCTAGTAGCATCGTTGAACGCTCTCGTTGTCGAGCATTCATTTTATTCTTTGTCTTTCGTATCTTTTTTTCTTCTTATTCTTGCTTCCGTCCTTCATGCTCGCGCAGGATGCATTTTTGCACGAGAATCCAAACTAATATAATGGCGCGCGAATTTCGCCATACAACAGCAAAACGTTGTCAAATATTTGTCAATTTGTCATCACGTTCAAGCGACACGTATCGATTTTTCTTACACTGCAGGAAAACGTGCGATTTAAAAATTCCGCAAACTCTTTTTCGCGAACACCTTCTCGAAATGTAGTTATATATACCGTTCTATGTTTGCGGATTATCCAAGAAATGGGATCAGCTTATGCGTACGCAATAATCTAGTTCCGTTGAAATTGAATCGAAATTAGATCACATGACGTCCATTGGAGCACCTCGTGCGCGTAATATCGATCGTTTTCTGACGATGTTTGCCGGAAGTAGTTATAATGACACTAACTCGTATAATTGTTCGACTATACTCGAGCTAATTGCGTTGGCCTGTTCGTGTCGCTCCTCTCTCCGAAATACAATTCAATTTAAGGCAAGTGTCTGACTGAAGTGGTCCGGAGTCCTCAGTTTCATCTGGACGAGTTCGGTTTCACCAGTTCCGGCGCATTCGGATTCAAAGCTCGGGACAAAATCAATACGTAGATATCGCGAGCATCAGCTATTTTCTCTTCCCGTCGTGTTCCCCTTCGCTTCCGGTAATAAGTCCTTCGACTGTGCAGTAAAGTGTGCCAAAGAAGAAAAAAAAGGAAAAGAAAAGGGATCGCAGAGATATTGGCGTGCCTCGAAAACCGAGGGAATCGAATTCCCCGATTTTTTGGAGTGAAATAAAAATTGCTCTCTGACGTTGAAGAAACTACCTAATTTCGTCTTGAAAAAAACCTACTGCAAAGTTCCATAGAATTTCTCTTTTTATCGATACGAGTTGTAATTAAATGTATTAAAACATTTTATGTTCATATAAATAACAATTTATGTGCTAACTCTTGTATTACTGATATTTCGCTCACATTATACAGTGGTTGCCAAAAATTTCCGTCAAAAATCAATTCAATAAAATATTTTCATGTTTTCAGATTAGGACAAAAATAATATAAAACATTTCAAAATTGTTAAAGGCATCAGGAAAAATGATATCTAAAAATCAAGGGAAAGTTATAGAATATTAGGATGAGGAATTGATAATTCTGATAATCCTTTAAAATTTTAATGTTAAAGACTAAAATGCGTTTCGTTTAAATTTCTAAGACATGACGAGATTTGCGCATGGCGCGATGAAAATATTATTTATTAAATATTGACGGTGCATAATCACTCGATGCAAATCGTCAGGTGAAAGAATACAGACAAAGAACAAGAGGGAAAAATAGTCCCTAAGGACGGTGCGCTTATCGTGATCGGCGCGGCAGAACGGACGGCATTATTCGCGCAGCACGTAGCGATTCATTCGTCATTGTCCGACATCCCTTTGTAACGTTACACGAGGATGACTTTCGCGGCATATGGGCTCATTCACGATGAATCGCTGTAGGCATGCACAGCGCACGTGCGCAATGCCCGCACACCATATTTTGAAGCAAATCGACAACTATTTGAAATTTTTGAACTTTAGAAAATATGCGCCAGCTGTGTGCAAACGCGATGTTTTTATGCATCAATTAATAGAAATAGCAGAATACAAGTGTCTCTTGATCAATATCGTGGAAGCAAATATGCGCGTCTTTGAAACGACGTAATTATTCCGCGTGGAAAGTCAGAGTATACTCGTTCGTCATTCAGCGAGAACGAGGAGGTAGCTCCGTTTACCTTTCTTCGATCCATCGCACGGAGGGTCCGAATAAACAAGAGTAAAAGAGGGTGTCGGGAAAACGCGGATGTGCTGAACGTTAGGGGTGTATGATGGAAAATCGCGTGCGAGCGTGATTCGATGAAACGTTTGCGGAATGGCAGCCAGTCACGTCTCGTCGCAGAAGCAGGCATAGGGCTGACGCATACTAGGGTGAATAAATGTGAGGGAGTAGCTTCGAAGAGAAAGTCACGCTGATGATACACTGGAAATTACATGCGAATAAGTTCGCGAGAAAGAATTAGATTTAACTTCCAATCTACTAACAAAGGAACTATCTCTCACTTTTGATGCTTGGGCTTTAGATATGTTGTAGAGCATCAAAAAATATAAGAAATATATTTTTTTTTAATTTAGGAGTCACAGCAACCCCTAGGATTGCGGATAAATTAAAAAAATTAATATGTTCAAAAAATGTGAATACACCGTTGTTAAAAGTAGATATATAAAATACCAAAAACTTTTGTATATATAAAACATTTTTTATACCTCATAGTTTTGAAGATAATAATTGAAAATAAAAAAATCCATTACTCTTAAGTGTTTGTTTCGACTCTTAAATTTTGAAATAAGTAGATAAAAAATATTAGTCTAATATTTTTGTATGCTTTACATATTCAAAATCCATCAAAATGAATAAAGTACAGATCTGATAGTTTCTTTGTAAGTTTATACCTTTTGTTGTTTGTCGACACAAGCTTATAATTTTCAAGAAAAAATTAATTCTCCATTGACCTAACAATTTGTCAGAAAGTATAAAGTAAAATAAAATTTCCTTTTTATAAACCTTAATTATGATAAAATTAATCAACATTATATATTTTCGATTCATTTTCTAATTTTGCTCATGAGGAGTAAAATTATAAGATAACATTTTGACGGCGATTGTACCGCCTCGGTATGCAAATCGCGACAATCAATAATCGTTAAAAGAATGGAAAGGGGACAGACGATTGACAGACGACGGAGTGATGGTAGTTTACTTTAGCTTGGATTACAGGCAACTCGTCGTGCTTTAATGCAGCGAGGTCTAATCGCAAACAACGTTGGAGTGTAAGATCCAAGCAAACACTCAGCAAAACCTATTAATATGCTTAGAATATTGCGTAAAAAGACATGTAACATGTAACATTCACAATGAAAATTACACGAATTATATAGAACTAAAAATTTCAATTCTAATTAATTTACAAAATATGAAAGTTTCTGTCTAAATTTTGTAAATTAATTAAAATTGAAATATTTAATATTGAACTCAATTCTGGAACAATTCTAGAATTTCTCTCAATCTTTTTATCTGTTTAATTTTCATTATTTATATGAACAACTTATATGAACAATTTATATGAACAACATCGTTGTTAATTAATTTTTCTTACTTCTTGCGTATTATACTATAAAAGTATTTGACAAGTCGATTACAAATAGATTTTAACTATCACATGTAAATTACTTAATATAATTTTTATATATTTAGCAGTTTTCTTTAATAAACTAAAATATCTGATTAATTAATTTATTTTAAACTATTAAATTTAATATATGTCTTAAAGAATAAAGCTTTTTTTTTTTAAAATAAGAAATATATTAATAGAAATAAATATTTTTATTATTACTTTCTTCTCTATCTTTCCGTTGAAGAAAGAAAAGTTGTGTGATAAATTAAGAAAATAAAACCAGGTTATTGCAGTTTTTACAAAATTTCAATTTTATATTATTAAAATTACAATTATATATCTATAATATATATAATATATATATAATAATATACACACACACACATATATATATTATATATTTTATCTATTAAAATTACAATCGCGTTCCTTCTGAGATGTGAAAAATTTAACATAAAAAGTAGGGATAATGAATACATATTAATTTACATTGATAATGTTTCAAACAAAACGTAAATCAATTTTGTTGCATTAATATTAATTTTGCTTATAATTAATAAATATATCCATTTATTCAATTAATTTCAATTATAAGGAACAGATATTTGATGTACATTAAATATTTTATGATGAATTTTAAAATCAATTCACAACAAATTGAACGACGTACATTACATAGAATATTTTTTTATTGCCTGCAACATATAACATACTGTTGCGTACAATATACTTATAAAATAA